AGCGTCTCACCGGCTGCCACATGCTGGGGCCGCTCAGGGGTCTGCAATGAGAGGCCGAGCTGGAGCCAGGGTGCGGCAGGGAACCCCCCCTCCCAGCCCCACGCACCCCAGTACCTTCGTGCTCTCCTTGGCGGGGGCTGCATGCGGCGCCAGCACAGCTCCCGAGGGCCATTTCTTCACGTCCTGCCCGTAGCCGGGGGGCACCAGCACCTGCAGCCATGGGGATGATGGGGTTGGTGCTGGGAGACCCTGGGGGGGCTGGGGGACCCCCTAGATGCAGGGGGAAGGGTACCTGGGGCCTTACCTGCCCATCGATGTAGGCGACCTCCCCACGCAGGACCACCCTCCGCACTGTCCCCTTCACCTTCATGCCCTCGAAGGGTGTCCAGCGTGCCTTGGAGAAGGCCGTGCAGCTGGGGATGATCCACTCGTGCTCCAGGTCCACCTGCCAGGACAGGGGGTCAAAGGCAGCAGGGCCAGGGCCGGGGCTGGATCCAGGGTGGGCGGGCAGGGACCCACCTCCACGTAGGTGTCCTCCTGCACGGGCAGCCCAAAGATCTTGCGGGGGTTCTTGCGGGCAGCCCAAAGATCTTGCGGGGGTTCTCATAGAGGCGCTGGACGACATCCTCCACGGTGAGTCGCCCCTCAGAGACAGCTGTCAGCAGCAGCGGCAGCATCGTCTCCAGGCCAGGGTAGCCGGGGGGTGGCTCCTGCCCCTGCTTCTCCTCCAGCGTGTGGGGGGCTGCGGGATGGGGCCGGTCACTGTGGACCCGCTGCAGTCCCTACACCATGCTCCTGCCCCGTGGCCACCGTCCCCCAGGGCTCACCATGGTCCGTGGCAAAGCAGTCGATGGTGTCCATGTTCTCCCAGAGTGCTTCCACATCCTGGTGGGTGCCCAACACCGGCCGCACGGCCGCTCGGCCCTCCCCAAGGCGCCCCAGGTCATCCCGGCACAGGAAGAGGTGGTGCGGGGCCACTTCGCATGTCACCGGGATCCCCTTCTGCTTTGCTGCTTTGATGAGGAGGATCTGGGGGGGCCACGGTGAGAGCGGAGCCATGGTGAGGGACGGACCTAAACGCCCCATTGCTGGGGCCCGCAGTCCCCCCGCCGCGCCCCTGAGCCCCGCCACTCACCTCCTCCCTGCGGGCCACGTGGCAGATGTGCACAGGGCGCTGGTACAGCTGGGCCACCATCAGGACAGCGGCCACTGTCTGCCGCTCCGCATTAGCCACAACAGGCAGGTGCTGCGGCCACTGCTCAAAGTGCTGGGGCAGGGACGGGGCTGGTGGGCACCGGCACCGGGAGCCGGGTCCGGCCCCGCACCAGCCCCTGCCCGCCATGGCTCACCTCCATCCACAGCGACACATCGTCCATCCGCAGGCTGGAGAAGGTGTCGTTCAGGTACATCTTGAGCCCAGCGGCTGCCCCAGCCAGGGGGCCCAGCGAGCCGGCGTTGTCTGAGGAAGCCCCCAGGAAGAGGGCGAAGTCGCAGCGGGCCCCAGCCTCGGCCAGCTGCAGGGGCGAGAGGCGGGGGGGGGGGGGGCGGGGGCCAGCCCCGCCGCGGGCAGCTAGCGCACTGCAGCTGGCACCTCAGCACCCAGGGAGGGGATGTGGGCATCGGGCCAGGCAGCGGCAGCCCCTCACCTTCTGCACCAGGGCAAAGGAGGCAGCGTCGGTGACAGCGGGGCTGGTGTTGGGCATGACGCACACCATGGTGACGCCCCCAGCCAGGGCAGCCGCCGTGCCCGATGCAAAGTCCTCCTTGTGGGTGCCGCCTGGCTCACGGAGGTGGACATGGACGTCGATCAGGCCTGGGGAGCGGGGCAGCATCAGCACGGGCAGCCCCCAGCCAAGGGGGACGTGGGACACCCCAGCAGTGCAGGGAAACGTCTCCTCTCCCTGCAGCACCCCCGAAGCCCCTGTCCCAGTTCCCGGTGCTGCCCTGACTCCGTGCTGCACCCTCAGAGTCCCCGGCCCCCGCCATGGCCCCTGTCCCACCTACCCGGCAGGCGGATGAGTTTCTGGGACGTCATGCAGTCCACGTGCATCTTCAGCGGGGGGGCTGCCCTGATCTGGCCCAGTGCCTACAGAGATGGCAGCTGTGAGGCAGGACCCATCTTGCAGGGGTGCGTGGGGCCAAAGCCCAGCAACGGGGCCAGGATGAGGACGTCTGCCCAAGCCGCACCCCAAAAACGACCCTCCCACAGCAATGCCCGTGTGCATTGCCCACCCCACACTATCCACAACAGGACTTTCCTACCCCAGCCCCACCTTTGCTCCCTCACCTGCACCCACATCCCTTGGGCCCCTGCACGCCCCAGCCCACCTCCACAAAGAGCTTGGTGCACTTGATGTCGATGATGAGCGGCACGGAGTAGTCGACCGCCAGGCGCCGGGTGCGGTACCCCTTGGTGACGAAGGAGGAGAGCCGGCGGCCCCCTGAGTTGCGCATCGAGAGGTTGATGACCATCTCGAAGTGGTTCTCGGCCAGGTAGTCCAGGATGCTGCGCTGGGTCTCCCGGGCGCCAGCCTCGCTGCCATCCGCCTCCTCAAAGTGCCAGTCCACGGCCATCACCTGCTGGCAGCGATGCCCGTCAGGGCCCCGCTCCTCCCCCCGAGGGCGCCCC